TTACTTGTGTAAGCAAACTGATTCTGGGCACATTGAAACTGTGGCACACTGTGACACCTTCTTTCAAGGGAGACCCAGCATGCCCCCGCTTCATTAGCCTTCAGTTGGCAGGCAAAAATGTTTGTATTCACATGATTTTTGGCAATTCACTAACTGCTGAGAAAAAACCCCCTCCCAAAGAAGTGCCATACCATTTAGCGGTATGTTTTTCAACTGCTTTTACATTCCAATTGCATATTAATATTATAATTTGTATAATTTTCTTTTGACAATATTGTGTGTGTGTAGGGAGGGGTCTGTTAGACAGCTGTGTATCCTAGTTTTGAGACAAAGGTAGATTATGATTCAAGCAAACACACTGGCTGTTCTCTTGAAAATTGTAACACAGAAAGGGAAAACGGTTATTGAAACAAACAGGAGGAAGCAACAAAACAGTATCTATTGTTGAGAGAAAAGACTAGCAGATGCCCATGTGTGACATATGGAGCTAGCATCAGGCAGATATAAGATGGATTGCTTAAATTAGTTGTGTTACCCTCAGGGATGTTTGTGAGACGCAATTCAGCAAAGGGTTTGTATGTGGTGCATTCCAGTAATACCACTTCTGCTGCACTGAATTACTTTAGTCTTGTGTAACTGTGAGTGGTATGAGTATGAGTCTGTAGGATGTGAAACCTATACAATACTTACTGTGAGACATGAAACCTATACAATACTTCTGTGGCTCATTTAACCATGCACCCACATACTAAAACTGTACTACAACTAGGAATATTTCTAGTCTGTGAAATTTTTCATGTATTACTTTTAATACCTGTTTTGCTCCGCCATAAATGTCTCACAAAGCTACAATTCCCAGAATTCCCTAGCATTGAGCCAGGGCAGTTAAAGCAGTTTCAAACACCTCTTCTTGGATTTATGATCTGTATGTTTCCCTTTCTCTTACACCTTTAAAAAAAATACACATTTTTGGTCAAATTTATGAAGAAATTTACAAATATTTGTATAAAAATGAAATACACGAAATACTTGTCTTTGGACCAACCACAGTTTGGATCACTGTTGTGCCTCTAGAAGCTGTTGAACCATGGAGACAAAAGTAATCATCAATCATCATCATCATCATCAACAACAACAACAACATACATCAGTTGTTACTTTCATACTAAATTTTTACATGAGTACATTACATGAGTAGTGCATGTAATGACAGCCACCATGTTGTAGTGGTTGGAGCACTGAACTATGGCTCTGGAGACAAGGGTTCAATTCCCTGCTCAGCCATGGAAACTCATTGGGTGACCTTGGGCAAATCACACACTCTCACTCCAGAAAACCATGAGGTTCACCTTAGGGTCAAAAATGACTTGAAGGCACACAACAACAAAGTGCATGTAACATATATATTAACCTGCATCAGATCAGTTGCTTTTACCAAAACCCCTACTGCCCTCACATCAATCTCAACCCATGGTGACCCTGCTGATGAGACATCTCTAAGACTCCCTGTGCTCAACTGCTCTGCCCAACTCCTGCAAACTCATATTTAATGGCCTGATGTTACCATTGTTGTCATTAAAGTATTTAAAAATAACGATCTTGACCCTTATTAGTTTAAAAAAACAACAGCCAAGTAGCAAATAAGACCATTACCTTTAATGTGTGGCTTTCCATTCTGGAGTAACATAATCCAGTTTTGAAGCAAAGTGATAACTAGATGAAATGGAAAGTCATTCATCAGATACTTGAAGTGTTATATTACAATGATGATGAATATTTTCGTGGCTATAGAAGAAAATAAGCTTGCAAATAACAGGACCAAAATATTATGCAATGCAAGCGATACCTGCAACTTTATCAGATTTCTATGAAGAATAAAGGTTCAAGCCTAGGGATATTTTATATAAGGCAGTGTCTTATATAACGCATTTATATAAAGTATTCATAGTAGCATCATTTCCAAATGGCATAAAGGTAAAAGTAAAGTTATGCCTCCTGACTGAATGAATTGGTTGGTGAAGCAGGGGAGGTATCAAATGTTACAAACCCCCAGATAATGTGTCTCAGATTACAGACCTTTTTCTTTGTCCACTGAAAACCTCAGTGGAAGCTGAGGTTTTGCTGAATGACAGTTATTCTCTGAAGATCACCCAGGATGGCTTTGTGACAAAAAGGGATTTCTAGTTCCATACTAGAATGGATAGTATGCTGGAATTTGTACTGTCTGTCTAGAATAGACCAGTATTCTTTAGTTATTGTTCTGCAACCAGTTACTAATACATAAGAAGACTTCCTTTATCCCATAATAGCACCCTGAATACTGATTCTACCCCAGCACTGTCTGTGAAGGTATCTAGACAACATGTGATGTCTGCAACCATTGCACCAGTAGGAAATTCACTATGTGGTCTATGTGTCCTGTCACAAACCCAGTTCCCTATGTCTCTCATGATTTGAGTTCCCATTGCTCAAACACCCCTAGCTTTGGAAGCATACTTTTTGCATGGGAGGATATCTATCGAGAAATGAAACCCTTCAAAGAGGTTGTTTTCCTCCCCTCCAGGGTGACTCCTTACTTCTTCAAGACCTGCATTTTCTTTAACTGCATAGGAGCTGTCACTTGGAACTGATATACAACTCAGATATCCCTAAAGGTCTTGTCCACTAACCTTTCTACTTCTCTCACATGCTCTAAAGGAAGGCTACTCAAGATGGTGGTCCCTTGCCAGTCCCCAAGCCATTGGCTGCTGGCCCCTGGTGGTTGTAGTCAATGAGCATCAATATAATACCTGTTCCTGGTACACTGGGGGGGGGGGAACAGGTACCATGCCAGTCCTCCACATTAGATAGCTTAAGAAGCACTGCTCTTAATCCCCCATCTTGGTTTCAGGAGCCAGGAGCTCATAGTATTGAAGATACAACTAAATCTAAATCCAATTGTTAGTCCAAACTAGTTATGTGCTTTCTTGATAAGTTGACATTTATGTACATTCCATTGATTCAGTGGATCTAGTTGAGTTGGAGCTAGCAACTGGATTTAGTTATGGTACCAAGGGAATTTTATATAAGGGACCATATAAACATTTAAGTGAGTAGGGATTTACAAGTTCCAGAACTGGTGATTCCACACACACACACCCTCAACACGCACTCACACACTAGCTATGGTCTTCTCACTTAAAACCTCCCCCCTCCACTCTTTCTTCAGGGAGAAGAGAGGCTTAGATTTAACAGCAAAAATGAACACCTAGTAAAAACCCGTTTCCACCTGGATCCCCTGTCAGACAAAGCTAGCTTTCCCAATGTATATTTCTGTCACAATTTATCTTGCTAGGAAATCACAGTGCTGGGAGGTTTTGTTTGCATTATCTATCTTTCCTTGTTGCTTATCACATTATCTTTATCCAGGCAAATTTTTCTGTTCTATCATCAACTATAAAGGTCTTGCTTCCTTCAGGGTTTATACTTTCCCCCTCTCTGTAATGTCCCTGGATATTTTATCAAGGTAATCCCAATAAAGCTGTTTTGCAGAATTCATTTTCTATACTCTATTATGTCTCTGTACAGCTTTCTAAAATAAAGTGACCATTAAGAGATATTAGCAAAGTGCTAATTATTTCTGGCAATAAATGAAAGAATCTGTATTTCTAAAGGACTATCACCTTTGTAGCCCCTTTTCAATTTAACTTTCTTTTCACCTGCCTATTGGTATCCATAGCAAAGAGCACAGTCCATTTCAAGCACTTAGGAATATTATTCATACTGTTTCATCTTTTGCTTTAAAGGCTTTTTATCTCACCTCCTCTCCAACAACAACAACAAAAAAGATATCCCTCATGAAGGAGCACAGGGATTCAGAGAAGAAGGTTAAGTCGCAACATGTGTTTCAGAAACCTTCAAAATATAATTAATAAAAAAGTTACAACATAACAGCTCACTTTCAGTTGCAGCAACCTTCAAAAAATGAAAAAGGTTTGAAAATTCGTAAGTAACACATCAAAGATACAGGATTCTCTTTGTGTGTTATCAACATTCGGTCACAATCACCTGCAGTTGAGGTGCAAGAAATGAAAAGAAAAACAAAATTGCAGTCATTAAAACTGTCAAGGTCACAATATTTGTGACTCTTTAGGTTAGGAAAAAAGCCACAAAAGTTCATACTCATCATGCCCTCTCCCAGAAATTATATGTGCATGTCCTTTCAAGTTGCCTGGAGACTTGTGGTGACCCCATGATTTTAATAGGGTTTTCTTAGTTAAGGAATACTCAGAGGTGGTATTTCCAGCTCCTTCCTCTGAACTATAGCCTACAGCACCTGGCATTCATTGACAGTCTCACATCCAAGTACTAACCAGAGCTGACCCTGATCTTCCAAGATCAGATGGAATTTGGCTCCATTAGGTTATTTAGGCTGGCACCCTGGATGTGGTAGAGGGGTATAAAATTATTCAAGGTGTGGATGAGTTGAGGTGGATAATTTGGAGTCATTCAATGAAGGTGAGTGGTGGGAGGCTTAGAACAGACAAAACCATTCACTTCTCCACATAGCACATAGTTAAACTATACCATAAGAGTAGAATTTAAAGATAAAGAGTAGAATTTAAAGAATTTAAAGATATAGAAAAGCATCTGAGGAAGTAAACTGAAGTCTACGAAAGCTCATGCTGACAACTTTTTTTCAGTTAGTCTCAAAGGTGCTACAAGATCTCTTTACATGCTACCATAAGAGTTAATGATGGCTACCAAGATGGATAGCATTTTTAAAAAGTGGTGGACAAAATACCCAAATAGGCTTCCCATTTTTTTAGACTGAAGGTCTCAGTCACTCTAGTTTGCATAAGGATAGCCAATGGGGAAGGACCATGAGAGATAACCACAATCCAGCAACAGCTTAAAAAAAGAAGTGGGATGTTTTACAGGGAATATTAATGGAATATAATATGTCACAAATGTTTTGTTTATAGTGATCTATATGGCTACTTTATGAACAGAACAAGAGAGCCAGAGTGGTGTAGTGGTTTGAGTGTTGGACTACAGCTCTGGAGACCAGGGTTTGGTTCCCAGCTCAGCCATGAAACCCACTGGGTGACCTTGGGCAAGTTACATAATCTCAGCCTCAGATGAAGGCAATGGCAAACCTCCTCTGAACAAACCTTGCCAAGAAAACCCTGTAATAGGGTTGCCTTAGCTTTGCCCTAAGTTAGTTGAAGGCACACAACAACATCAATAACAAGAACAGAAAATATGTGTTTGGTTTTATGCATCAGTACTCTTCTTATTTTCTTATGAAATATGTGTGATACAAAAAGGACATGCCCCTTTCATTTAAAAAAAGCCTTTTTGATAATATGCAGGTTTAAGCAATACCTCACATCAGTTTATGCTGCATTTTGTTTTCAGATTTGGAAAGAACTACACAGATTACTTTCTTTTTCCTTCAAATTGGTATTTTATTCATATATATATATATATATACACACACACACACACACACACACACACACACATACTAGTTCTGACTTACTATCATTCTTCAATTTCAGATACATTTCTTCTTCAAATCTTATAATATTCACCCTATATTCATCCTCCTAGCTCCCTTTATCTAATCTTCTTATCAATTCTTCCCATCTCATTCCTTCATTATTTCCTCCATTCTCACTTTCTTTTACCTTTTCCTCCTGTTCTTCATTCAGAAACCTTCTATTCTCATCCTTTTTTCTCTACTACACTTACTTGTACCTTCATACTTACATACTAAAACATTCATCCAAACTTCCTCCTTGTCAGTACTGGTCCAAATTTCATTATATTTATGAGGAGCTTTTTATAGTGACATAATTTATTAACAATCTACATTTCTTTCTTTCTTTCCATTCCCCCCTTTTCTCTCTCCAAATTCTAACATCTTAGCACTTATAACTATGATTAATATACTTAGCATAAACAGTTTGAAAAACTAGTACATTAGTCCTAGTATGGTATCTTCCTCTTAAAAGACTGGAGGATATTATATCTTTTCAAAATTACCTCTTACAAAACAACCTCCCCCCATGGTAGGCTGCTTACTATAAAACATTTTCTGTATGTACTATAAAGGAAGCAGAGATGGTTTCCAAATGGTGCATGTCCAGTTGTGAAACAATGGGGTTCTATCATTCCTTATGTAAAACTGTAGCGAAGAGAATGAGGATCATAGTGATCAATCTGGTTTGCTTTAGATTTAAGTACATCCTGTGCTTTGACTTCTCAGGAAAACAATCTGGGCATTGCTTTTGAAGGCTTTAGTAATAACTTGGCCTTGATTGTAGTTTGAACTCAACTGAATTATGACCCTTATCATTTGCCTAGTCATGACACAATGCTGAAGTAATAATCTCCACCTCTCTCCCCCAACACAAATGGATAATGTATAATGCATTATAGAAGTCATTGCTTTTAGAGATTTCTCTTGTTCAAAACAAAGTGCAGTGCCTTGCAGAACATGCTGGTAGCCCAATGCAGTGATTATATTGCTACAGCAAAATGGATTCTCAAAGACAAGTAGACTGGGGATGAAAGAGGAGTGGGAAGAAGAGAGAGAGAATATGAGACTCCAGAATTTTCCCAGTCTAAGAGTCTGTGCTTAAGAAGATGAGAAACATTACAGCTTCAATCCTATTGTTAGCCTCATTACAGTAGACCCACTGAAGCAATAGGAGTGATATAAGTGTTGACCTAACATTCAACAATTAAATGTTGAGTGTATTCTACTTGGGACTAGCTAGTAGACATGTTGACTTAATATTCAACAATGGAGTCAGTGTGTGCACTCTTCTTGGAACTAGCAATCAAACTCCAAGCTTGATTTACCCACCCAGTGTGTGTTTGTAAAACTGTACTAATATTTTTGTGTTTTGGACTAAATCTGTGATATATTTGGTTTGTTGATGATAAAAGGGAATATAAGAGTAACAGTTTAATTCGTGATGTATTTATTCATGGTGTTAGTAATTCTCAAGGGTGGGAATCATGTGGTCCTCCAATTGTTGCTAGACTGCAACTCCCAGCCTTCCTTTCCATTGATATTGCTAGCTGAAACAACTGGGATTTGTAGTCCAACATTATCTGAAAGGTCATTTGCTTCCCAAACCTGTTGTATAAATTGTCCATATGTGCATAGGTAGGATGAGTATTTTTCACTGTTCTACTCAACACATGAAATATCACAACTCACTCCCTTCCTATGGAAATCCAATGGCTGTAGAAGCTTGAAAAATTACATCTAAACCTGGAATATTTTACAAAAGAATAAAGGTGATCAGATCATTTTTCCTTTATCATTTCAATATTCACACTGCAGAATTACAGCAAGCTAATTAGGAAAAACTGCCTGCCCAGTGCTGAGGAATAAGGAAGGGTTTGCTTTGTTTTGTTCTATACAAGAGAAGAATACATCATGGCAAACCTGGCAGAAAAGCATCAATACTATCTACTACATATATTTTATGCATCTGCTAGAACTCAAGAGAAAAGATATTAGTCTCATAGCCACTGCTATGTAGTTGGCTTAGACATTCACATCTTCCTAATTAGGACTTTGATGTAGCTTAGTCCAGACTATATAGGTTGCTGTAATCATGGGAAACCTCTGACTGATGGACACATCAGTCAATCCCACATCTTTCTTTCATCTTGGCAGACTAATGTCCAGGAATATTTTCTAATGCTTAGATATATCATCTTTGTCTTTATAGCTGATCATTAGGTGCCGATCATTGGGTGCATTATAGAAATGTGGTCTGTATCTTTAGGACTGAAAATTGTTCAGAAAAAAAACCATAATGATTATAATGATTATAATGATAATGGGGACTCTTCCTTTCAAGTGTATACATTTAGTTGATCTGATTTGGCTTATCAGAAAGTTGCATTTAAAATTGTGTGATATACAAGGAGAAGAATGGCAAGGCACAAGTTCTGAGCAGCTTCTCAATGGCTGCCAGATACCAGGTTGTTATAAATTCAGCACACATTAATCATGTATTTCATGAGGGAGTTTGCTGTTCCATGCCTTATCTGTAGCAGTTGAAGAAGAAGAAATTCACAAGTCCCAAATTATTCCATTTATTTTATGGTTATAAATAATCAAATACAGTTTGTGACTCTGTGGTCTGTAATGCATTTAGATTGACTCAGAACAAGATAGAAGAGAACAGCCTGGGTTTGTACTTGAAGTTCACTAAGGACTAGAATTCCCTTGATGTCTCTCTCACACACATTATGTAGGGCACAGTTGTGTTTTAGAAACCTCTCTCCAAGCTCAAGGGAAAGCAAGACTATCATTAGGCATGTCCCAGTGAGCACCACTGATGGGTGTTGGTATTGCAAGCTAGATTGGCAGGCTCCAATGAGAAAGATCAAGATTTTTCCAAACTAAAATTGATTGACGACTATCTACTAAAGCTGTTTCTTTCTTTCTTTCTTTTTACCCCTCCCTTTTTTTTTTTAATCCAAAAGCCTCTGATGCAAACAAGAAATTCATGGTGATAATGCACAGCCAAATATGAATTTGCTCTGACAGAAATATGGTCAATAGCTTGTTTTTCACAGTTCGGCAAACATTTATTTCAAGATGAGAGGAACACTGTGGCAGAAGGTGCAGTCCCATTTCAACACTGCAAGGTCAAAAATGTCTAATAGAATAGCTTCTTTGCTTCTTATCCATTAGTTTCCTTTTTTGTTCCCAAGGTCCTGACTCTTTTTTTATCAGTGGTTTCTCTTTTTAAAAAGAGTCACTAGTGTAAGAAGTTCTGGGGGTTGACCATTTACCACATGCAAGTCATTTGAGTCTACCTTCCACTCCCTCTAGTGTTGATTCTATGGTTTGTAATGTGTTGCATTTAGAACCAGCATGATTTGAGTGTTGGACCAGGACTCAAAGAGACCATGGTTTGAATCCCTTTTTGGCCATTAAAATCCACTGAGTGACCTTGGGAAAGTCACACTCTCTCAGTCTTAGAGGAAAACAATGGCAAAGCTCTTCTGAACAAAATCTTGCCAAGAATATCTCGTGATAGATTTGCCTTAGGATTGCCATAAATTGGAAAGGACAACAGCAATTTATTTATTTTATTTAATAAATAACAATAAATACTGTTAGAATTGATGGGAGAAGTAATTATGCATACATGGCTGGGTATAGCTTTGGGAGCATATGAGCTTATTTTGACTTATAAGATGTAACATGAGACTGGGTCATGGCTACACATTTGAAAATCACATTCTGTTCCTTATATTGAGTAAATGATTCTTGATCTTCTGAAGTCTGGCATTATGTCCTATAGCTGGAATTGGCAAAGTGCAACCCATGAATGTCATTGACCGACCACACTCCCCAAAGAGAACCACAGGTTTTCCTCCAGACTGAGAAAAAATGACATAAAAGTATGATCCCCATACACCTGTGTTATGCTTGAAATAGCCTTCAGAGAGAAATAACATTTGTCAGTTTTCAGGAATGGGTGGGTATGGCTGTTGAAGCCTAGACAAGCAGCAGATGACAATGGAGATTATCACACTCACACAGGATAGGGACAGGATTGCTCTCCCATCCTTATCTCATCCATGGGGGGGGGGGAGGACTGCATGTGAAAGCCTTTCATATTGTATGCACTGATCCTGTCATTGAAGTGGCACTGCATTAACACGAACTTCTGTTAATGTAAAATGCCAGGGCAATGCCACTTCAATGACAGGACAATGACAAAATCAGTGTGATGTTATTTAAAAGGATTCCATGCGATCACCATCACTCACACTTTCCAGATGGGTCAATGTCCAGATAAGCTCAGTGTCACATGAAAGTCCCTTGCACAATCACATGGGATGGATGAGACAGGTACATCCCATTCCCCATGTGATAATCTCCAATGCCTCCCTCCAACATTCTGAAGTCATCCACCACAAGTATCCACTACAAGTATATAACTTTTTTCTGTTGTTGGACTCATCTGTCCAGGAAAGCTGCCAAGAGTGCTGATAACAGCTTCTTGTGAGGATTGAAGGTAACAAAAGTATTTTGCTAATGAAT